TCATGCGTTCTCAGCATCCTTCTCTACTGCAGCGAGACATGGGTAACATATTGTCGTCATGAACGCCCCCTGATTGCTTTCCACTTTTGATATCTCCGGTCAATCCTAGGCATATCCTGGGAAGCTAATGGATACCATGCTTAGAGCTCATTGCCTCCGTTGGACTGGCCATGTTTGTAGATAGGCTCCCGAAAAACATCTTCTACAGCGAGCTAGCAGATTCCCCCCGTCCACCTTGTTGCCCATGGCTGCGGTGTAAGGACGTTATAAAACCCGGCCTCACTGCGTTCGCCATCCCTCTCTCATCATGGAAAGAAATAACACAAGAACACTTGCTGTGGCGCGATAGATTACACAGTGGCTCACATGAATCTGCCGAGAAGCAAAAATCTTCCAGTACAAGTCTTTAAGACTTCATTTTGCAATTCTCCTGAGGCGTTATGTGTTATTACCAGTGTTGTAGTCGAGACCGGATAGTCCAAGACCGAGACCAAGACCTGAAGTTTCGAGACCGAGACCGGCTCCTTCAAGGCGGACCGAGACTGAGACCAATATGGTCCGAGACCGATATGGTCCGAGACCGAGATCGAGACCGCGGATAATGAATATCAATAATCTAAATAAAAACCAAGACACATAATTACAGCTGAACAGTCTGTCCTTGAGATGCTGACGTTGATGTGAAGGAAGTGATTGAAAGCTAGGAATCTCTTGTACCTGCTTGTGTCATGCGAGTGCTCTTCATGTTTGCTTCATACCTTAAATTACAACATGGCAACAGAATCTGTTATTGTCACAAGCAATTAAAAAAATTGGAAATAACTCCATATTTCCTTGCCACTTTTTAAAAATATAAAGTGTAAATCTGATGAAGAATGTCTAAATTAGGAGTACGAAAATTTTCACTTATTTTTTGCAATGTTGAAACTTGACAAAAGTAAAAAGTGAAAGGTGGATGTTTCATCTGTTATAGAAACTCGGACCCTTAACTCCACAGCCACCCCTTGGTTTCAGCTATGACTACTGACGGATATTTAAATGCAACATTAATTTTACATTTGGCCTCCTATAAAACCTGACTTAAAAAAAATTGAAGCAAAAAAAATTGATTTATTTTTTAAAATTTCCGTCATGGAAAATACCGGTAGACTTGTAGACCCAAAAGTTGCGAGGTGGTAACCAGATATGGATTTTTATTTTATTTGACTGGGATTTTGCTTTTGGAGGAATAATGGGGTACTTCAAATGAGCAGCCAGAAAATGGGGTCTCATCATACATTCTCATGGCAACAGTGAGTGGTAACTGGTAAGAGTGTGTGAATTCATTGCTGGAAAATCAGGTAGGAAATGTAATCTTTCTCCAAAATACTATCCCAAATTAAAGAGAAGATTAAGGTCAAAAATGTCACTAATTTGGAGCACCTCGTTTATTTTCAGAAATAAGAAATACTTAAGTTAACGCCCATAGGGGTGGGCTAAACTACACAATCCCCGAAAATGGTTGGCCTTTATTGCATAAATTGGTACTTACTTTGCTTTATGTGCCCGACTCAAATGTCCACATTTTGGCTGGTCTCGACCCGAGACCAACCAAAATATCGAGACCAAAGGGGACCGAGACCGAGACCAAGCCCAAGACCGCAGCTCCCGAGACCGAGATCAGCAAAAAGTGGTCTCGAGACTGGTCTCGAGACCTACAACACTGGCTATTACGGTTACACCTCTTATGTTCCGACACCCCTATGTTCCGACTGCACATATTCCTATTCCTAACCCTAACCCTAACCGGGAGTAACACAATCTAGGTTGTCGGAACATGGGGGTGTCGGAACATAGAGCAGTCACCGCTATTACTATACCTCATAAATATTCATCAGGCAACCACGGTATTTCATTGGTCCATTCCAGCAACTCGATCGTGTGAAAGTTTTTACTATCACCCTGCGTCTTTGTACGTGCGCGTGACGCACAAAAACCAGGGAGGTACTATCACACACCTGGGTCGCAGCCTTAGATTTGTTCCAGTACTGTGTTATCTCTTAACCATCGACGCATACGCTTTACGTGCATATCGTGGAGATCACAGAACCAGTGAGGACAGTTGTGGCTGTCTATTACGGCATACATCAAAATGGTGACCGGTGGTGCTCGCTTTGCGATTTTAAATGAGGAGGAACTGGGTGAAATTTAACACAAATAAATCCAGTGTTTTGTGTAAATGTTGAAGTTATTAAATGACACAACATTAACTTTTAACATTAACTACATTCTGTTTGTCTTCTTAAATTAAATTAATGTTTCACTTTATCCAAATACTGCATGATCAAAAACATGGTGGAATGGACCAATGAAACACCATATGTTATTGCGGGGAAATAGTGAAAACAAATTACCCCTCTGTATTGGATGATTGGGACAATCTCCCTTGGCTAGTCCCAATCATCCAACACCTCGGGGTCATTAGTTTTCACTATTTCCCCACAAACCATGTTGTATTTGTATACTATCATCGACTACGATGTGCAGGCCAAGATGATGAAGTCTAATTCTGTCCTAATCCACCACTATATAATTTTCAACCAAAAGATAAAACACAACAGTCCTGAACTATTTTGAAAAAAAAATCACGTTGTCAAAAAAAAAACGTGAAAAAGTTGTGTAATTTTTACATGAACATATTTTTTTTGTTTTTGGTTCAAACTTGAATTCCTATCTTCTTTCAAGGTGACCTCACCTAGAAAGTAAAATAAAAATATCCTTTGACGTATAGTATAGTTGATCTGATATTTTATCTCAAAATCTGTCCCGTCTGTCACAATTTACCCCTTTGCTATAACTTTGTCCCCTCTGTCACATTTTTTCAATCACTTCTAGGTTAAAAAAAAACTAAACATACATTTTTTGCAAACTCTTCTGGTTTTTAATATACATGTACTACTAGTCTTTCTTATTTGTGCCTACATTTATTTAGCATATAAATATCTCGTTTGTCACAACATTAATGAGCCTGGTGTTTCCAGGTCCATGTTTTGAATTACTAAGTCAAGTGTTCACTGATTATTGGCATGAAAGTGATTAAATTTAAAAGACAAAAAACATTACATTTCCCAGGGGAACAGATAGCTTTTTCCAATGAAAGTCAATTTCAAAATATGGAGTGGAGTTTCCGTCCCGTCTGTCACGCTGATTTCACTTTGTCACTATACAGCCACTGAATCCTCTAGTTTCATGGATTGTTTTTTAATTTGAAATAATGAATGTTTACTTTGACCTTATACATAACTTAGATGGTTACACCTTACATATTGGTTGTGGCAGGCCTTTGAAAAAAAAGGTAGTGTAAATCTATCCTGTCTGCCACGCTGGTATTAGTTCAAGTCAAGTTAGTTTTCCCCTATATTCCTGATTAGTGGTGAAATGAAAACAGAGAGGTTTCAAATGTGTTTAACATAATCTAAACATACAGTGCACGTACACAGTGAACATCGCTGTGAACATTGACGTCATCGTGACGTCATCACGTGCCAAGTTACGTTGCATTATATGTGATTTTTCTGCGGTGACCATTTTCTAGCAGATTTCTGCTAGATCTGACATATATATTTTCAAGGCCTATATCTCCATAACTAAGGTCCGATTGGGTTGAAACTTGGTACGTACCTAGACTGGGATGTGTTGCAGATGAAAATTGAAGTGATGTCACGATGACATCATCACGTGACATGTGACGTCATATTAAAAGAGCATATTTTGAAGGCCTATATCTACAGAACTACAGGTCTGATTGGGTTGAAACTTGGTATGTACATAAACCGGGATGTGTTATAGATGACAATTTAAGTGATGTCACGATGACGTAATCATGTGACATGTGACGTCATATTGAAAGAGCATATTTTGAAGGCCTATATCTACAGAACTATAGGTCCGATTGGGTTGAAACTTGGTACGTACCTAGACCGGGATGTGTTATAGATGAAAATTGAAGTGACGTCACGATAACGTCATCACGTGACATGTGACGTCATATTAAAAGTGCATATTTTGAAGGCCAATATCTACAGAACTGTATTGGTCCTGATCACTACCGCACATGTTGTCCTATCAGCCTTACATGACATAAAAATACAATAACAAATTATTTTCCTTTTTGATGTGATGTCATCATCGTCATCACGTGACATGGGACGTCATAATTCAAAGCCCTATGAGAATGTAATCACATATTTATATGTCACCATTTAATATATACATAACTACACATCCTTCCTGGATGGAACTTATACTTGAAACTATGTCACATATATGTCACTAAAAAGTTACCGAAATAGCCCTGTGTTTGTCCACAAACATAAATCTAGTTTCTTCTCTTTTTTTTTCTTCCACTTTTTTTCCATAGGATAACACGTATTTTCATTCTGCAGGGCACTTTTGGACTTTTTTCAAATCCGATCGACTTCAAACCTGGCACACACTTAGACCACCATCTGAGGATTCAGGCAGAATCATTACTGACGTCATCATGACCATTACGTGTCACGTGACCCTTACCCAGACCCTTAACTTGCATTGTTTCTAAACAAGAGATGTCGTGATGACGTCATCATTACTCATACGACATCATGTACATTTTGCTAATTTATAACACCAAATTCACTTCTAGACAGTCTAATGATTTTTAGAAGAATACATATGTACATGTACATTCCACTTGGATGAAACTCCTTCATGGCAGTTGTTGCTAAAACGGTCGAAACAGCTCAGCGTTTGCCCACAAACACATTTCTAGTTGTATTTGTTAAATAAAATGAAAATGATCCATACTATTTCTAATGAGAATACTGTTCCATTTTACAGGTATTCAGCACTGGACAGTGTGCCTGACTACCGGTAGATAAGCATTAAATGATTTCTATCCAAATTAACATTTCAGAAACCTGGCTTTGAGCTTAAAAATTGCAGTAAAATGTTTTAATGAACTACATGAAAAAGAACCTTACCCAAGTATACTTAAGCAGACCTTGCCATTTCGATACAAATTGGGATTAAAACGGACCTTTCCTTCTCCTGTAGTGACCAGCTTAACACGCGGTGGCCTTATTGGGTAATCTGGTGGGAACCGGATCAAGAAATGGAAGAAACCTCCTTCATAGGGTGTGTCAAATGGACCTGTTATCAAGGCATGTACCTGGAAAAAAAATAATAACAGAGATAGTAATCCAATCTGTTAGGATAATAGAGAAAGCAAAAAAAGATGCAAGAGTACATAATGAAACAAAGAGGAGTCAGGTTGGTGTACTTTCCTCGCCTTCCACCGCGGTGACCCAGGTTTGATTCCTGCCTCGGCCAATACATGTATGTGGATTGGGTTTTCAGTCCCTATTTTGGTTCAGTGGTTTTCCTCAGAATTTTCATATGGAAATTCCTCCCACATTTAAAACTTCAGAGGATTCCCAAGTTAAAATAGTAAAAGCTTTTGAGTAAAATCTAAACTTACACAGATATTTAGTTTGTGAAAATTTGAAAGTGAAGAGAAAAAATCTCTAAATGTACATGTAGTATACTAAATTTATATATCTTTGCAGAGTCTTTATGCCAGACAAAATTAGTTCAACTTGATTTATTGGTGTTTTATCAGCCTTGATCTCCAGCTGTTTAACCTGGACATTTGCAATGTGAAACCTCCTTCGCCTCAAAGCCATACAACATGCACACCCACAACATCCATGTATGTATTCTAATATAATAACCTGTAGCCTATGATTCAAGGCAAAGTTTTGAAGTAGCCTTTCTGAATTTAGCACAAAGTAACAGCAGGAAGATAGCTGAATTTAAATGTTCTAAATATTTTTTTTTAAATCAGGGCAGGCTATGTCATCAGTTACAGTTGATTGACAGAACAGATACAATATTGACATCGCTTGCTGTTTGCTTACCAAGGAAAATAGGAAATACAAAAGCTGTTATCGGTGAGTTAAGAAGGAACACTGTACTGATGTTCCCCAATACCTATGTTCCCCAAATCCTTAAGGTTAGGGGTTAAGGTTAGGGTTAGGGTTGGGGAACATAGGTATGCACCCCTCTGTATTCACACACACGTACATGTATTTCAAATATCTGGGCATGTATCATTGTTAATTTCTGGAACCACTTAAAAGTGAAAATAATGCCTTTTTCTTAAGAAAGCAAGAACTGATGTGAGAGACGCATTGTGAAGGTTTGTGTATGCATCCATCGAACTAACATAGGTTCATGAAACCTACATTACCTCTTTTAAACTGGTTCAAAACAAACAGTTTATCTATGAGAAATACAAGTAAGTAAAGAATAAATGAGAACATGTTTTGGATTTAATATTTTTTGAGGTAAAAAAAAAAAATTAAAAAAACCAACCCACGAAGCAATCTCTGAAGGTGACTGCAGTTGGATCAGCAGGCCAAGGATCGATAAAAATTCATTTGGTGATGACGAAGTGGACTTCCATACTATGAAACTTTTGTGAAATGTGTCAGAACTGAAAATGTTGCGCAGCGTGAAATCGGCTGCAGAACTAACAAAACCAATTTTGACCAAAGCGGCAACCTTCCAGAACCAGGCGCATCGGCACAAAAAACGATTTTGTTAATCAAAACCAGAGCTGATTGCCTATCATGTGTACATGCAGCTACACCCACTTTGCTCACAGCTCAACATACATCTTTTTGGAACAATGACCACAGATGCTGGGTATCAACATGTCTGCAAAACTGCCTCTACATTGTATACTTACTAGTGGCTAAACCATGATGTCTGTGGTCATTTATTGGCAGTTTTGGCAACCAGCTGACACAGCTTTTGTTTTCGTTAAAGTTTATTTTTTTTACAAAAATGTAACGGGAGTAACCGATTTTGTGCGTCTTGTTTATCATACGTAACACATTTTCTGGATGTCATCTTTGGTGCTTAGGTAGGTCTGGGTCTACTCCATCTACCATGGGGATAACAGTTATTAAACCTTTTCAGTAAGGTAATTACAGCCCAAGGAAACTCAAAAGTACATCAAAAATGTAACGTGAGTAACCGTGGAATTGCCCAAAAGAGGATTCACAGCATGTCAACATTTAACACTTCTTTCATCAGATCATAGGATCAGATTGACTCCAATCTTGGTACAAACAAACAAGACTACAATGCAAAAATGTGTATTGACAAGTGCTATCAAGATGATGTCGCCGTATGGAATCGTTTGGGGAAACCATACCAACTTTTAAGGAACAAACAAAACACATTAAACTAGAGGTTCGCGTTTGTTGTTACAAACGCAGAGTGGTCGGGTAAACAATTTCATTAGACATTGTCCAGTTAAGTAAATGTATATGTTTATGTCAGAAAAAAGGATCAAGAACTTTAACATTTCCATTACCAATTATTTTGTAAAAAAGAATACGTCTTTTAGGATATATTTCAGTAAAGATTTAGGTACACGTACAAGCTATTTCCGGTTTGCTGACGTCATCAGTCAAAAAGGGAAAGGGGGATACTTGTTTATCATTACATGTAAGTAAAAATAACGCATGGAAACTTATGAACATTAAGTGTATGTAATAATAACAGCAAATTTCCGGTTTGATGACGTCACACTCACAGTATTTAGAAGCAAAAGGCCAATATTAAGTGTAACAGATGTCATTTTTGGGGGCAAAAAACAAAGTCATGAGACAGGGATCAAATGATGGATTTAAATTAAAAATAAAATGATCATTGTTGAATTCTCCCCACAGTAACTTCCGGTCTGATGACGTCATGATTATGAAACCTTGCAAATTCATTTGTGGTTGCTCATGCGATATATAGGGGCAATTTAATAAAAATTTGATTGAGAGTTTTAACATTTCAAAGGATTAAACTGTTTTTGAGGTGCCGCTAGAGGGCGCCCTTTTGTGGGATGACGTCAAAATTATGTTTTTGTGTTTGGCATTCCTCATTTAACACTTCCATAATGTATTTGTCTGTAGTAAAATGCTTCCATTTCTATTGCACTTCCGGTAACACCGGAAGAGAAGGTCAAGCAGTTTTGTGCCCGGGCATAAGAAATGTTGCTCACAGCATAGTCTACAACCTCACGAAAAAAATGAACACGATACTCTATTTAGTTCAAAAGATATAACGCAAACTATTTTGTCAAATCGTGCCATCAAATTGCTTGTTATTTGATACCCGATGACGTTATTACATCTGCGTAACACGGTACAAGTTCACACTAGGTTTTATGATCATATCGTAAACCGTTCGGAAGAAACGGTGCTTTTTTTTTTTATTTCAGGCTAATGTCTACATTTTTAATTCACCTAAATTTCAAGACAAGGTCAAGACAAGGTCAAGATACATGTAGTTCACGTACACGACATAAAATGTTTAAGTTTAAAATCTGATTACAAGGTTGGAACATGATTGATCATTTTGTTCAAGAGTTATAGGTGACAGAAGATCATCATTTTTTTAACGAAAATCGCTTGTAATTTGACTCCCGATGACGTCATAATGACGTCAGAGTAATATGCACCACTTAGGATGAGGGTCGATATATATTGAAAGTTACAAGTTCATATCATAAACCGTTTAGGAGAAAACCCGCGGAAACGTGCTGTACAGAAAAAAAAGATTAATCGTAACAATAATAGAGAGTGGTCGGGATGTGCCCAACCACTCAATTAATTTCTTTTTTACAATAGGTTTGGCCATAGGTTTAGCAAATTGTGAGAAAGGTGTCATGACATCATCAATACAAAATAAAGACAAAAACTGCAAAAAAGCCCTATGTTCTGTTGCAAACAGACATAGTATCTCTAGTTCTTTTTTCTTTCTTCTTTTTCAGCCATTCCCCATAGCATTTGTACATGTACACGTTTTCATCGTGGAAGGCACTTTGGGCTAAAATCAATTCGATTGACTTTATACTTGGCACAAATTTAGACCAGCATCTGAAGATGTGTGCCGAATATTGATGTCATGACCTCATCACATGACCCTTGATGTCACAATACAGGTACATATTTTGAAATATCTCCATCACTACATGTCTGATTGGGTTGAAACTTGGTATGTACCTAAACCGGGATGTGTTGTAGATGAAAATTCAAGTGATGTAACGATGACATCATCATGATACGTAAGTGGCGCCCCTCTGGGTTGCACTGTGCTATGAGCTCTGCATGTTTGTAATATTAAGCCAGTCCTGTGTTTCCAGTTTGTTTACATTCTCCAACAATCTGTCAAGTATCACTCCAGCATCCTACTAGACTGGTTTTGTGACCAACAGAGACTTCTACTAAAGCAAATCAATGCTCCAAGTTTTACACCATATTTCTGAAACCTACATCAACAAGTATACAGCAGTACATGTACTACACATGGCTAGTGCTTTCTCCATCTGACTGAATGAACCATGGTCTGCATTTCCATTGTCTCTATTGTTGAGATTCTTTGGACCCTGACAGCAACAATTACATGTACATGTACATGTACATTCACAACAATGCTTACCAGTATCTACTCCTACTCAAGAGAAGATCTATTGTCAATTCAAGCTGAGTGTGCTGGAACCCCACTGCCATTAACCACCTATCACTTACTACAGGACTATGGTATATGTTCTGTTAAACCTACACACCGGGGACATCGCTCAGTTTTAAGACGTCCATTCCATTACTCTTCACCTTCTGCAGTTCCTGCTCATTCGGACCCGCGCCTTGCCCGGCGGGGCCGTGAGGCCACACCATCGGCCCCCGCATCTGTTTCAGTAGCTACATATAACGTACGTACCCTCACCAAAGACAGTCGCTTATATGAACTTACAAATTTCTGCAAGGAACAAAACATTGACATTTTATGCATCCAAGAGCATCGACGAGTTATAATTGACGAAACATCCGTTATTGACGTTGGCAAGGGCTGGACCGTCTATATGGCCTCAGCTCGAACTGGAGGGCACGGGGGTGTATCATTTCTACTGGCACCCCATATCAAATCGGCCATACTTGGCTTCAAAAAGTTACATGATCGAATCACTACAATAGCGATACAACTTCACAACATGAAACTGAACGTTCTGAATGCATACATGCCCACATCATGTGGCAACCTGCAAGAAACAGTCGACTGCATCGACATTATGAACTCTTACCTCGCTTCCAGATCCACACGCGATATAACTGTGGTTGCAGGCGACATGAACGCCGACTTACCTGCTGACGGTATTACCATCAAAAACTACCATGGCTTTCGACAAACAACCTCACCTCATACCAACGAAGTGGCTAATTTTGTTGCATCCAACGAACTCATTGCTATCAATGGGGTTATGAGACAAAAACAATCTAAAATCGTGACATTCTATGGACCTTGTAATCGAAAAGCTCGCCTGGACTACGTTTTCATCAGTCAAAGCAAGGCACGGATCATTCAAAAGGTACAAACGGTGAGATTACAGTGCGTGCGGTCCGACCACGCAATGGTGATCACACGACTCAGTCTCAGAGTATGGCGACCAACAAAACATCACAAGTCCGCAACGAGACCACCACACTGGCTGTCTCTCAAAGTACCCGCCACACGTCGACGGTTCGTGGAAGAGGTCACACGTTTACTTGGCGGACGTGACAACTACCAGTCTGTTGCTGAAGCAATACATGCTGCAGCAGATACAACTCTGCCCAAGTGCAAACGCAACCCACCACAAACGTGTTTATGGGACAACGACCTACAGGTACAACAGGCACGTTCGGCTTTGACAGAAGCACGAAGACGAAATCCGAACTCTGCTCAACTTGAGCTGGAAGCGTTCATTGACGAAACATACAAGCGCCGACGAGAAGAAATAATCAGTGAGGTGGCTGACGAAATCAATCAGCACCATGAAGCCGGACGAGGCAAAGCTGTTTGGAAAGGCATCGCGCATATGACATGCAAGAAGAACAGGCCACCAGCACTTATAGCAGCTGACTCGATCGAAGATCGACTTTCCAAAGTCCACGATCACTTCCGTGACTTGCTCAATGCCCCTCACCAACCAGTCACTCTAGAACCCATTACCATACAACAAATTGACCATGCACCTACCATAGATATCGGCCCAATAAACGACAGAGAACTACTCAAGGCTTGCAAAACCATACCGTGCGGGAAAGCAAGTGGTCCTGACAACATACCATCCGATGTCGCTAGACTGCTGTCAATAGCCAGCTTAACGCTTCCAACCATGAACTCCATCGTGGCTGGTAACCCACCACCCCCAGCGTTCACGACTTCCATCATTGTTACAGTACCGAAGAAGAGCAACTCAACATCGCTCAACAACCAACGTGGACTTTCGTTAATGTCAGTCAACGCCAAGTTGTTCAATCGAGTTATGCTTGAGCGTTTACGCGGCCGAATTGAATCTTTACTTTGGAATCTGCAAGCCGGCTTTCGACCCTACCTCAACACTACAGAGCAAATCTTGTGCATCAAACTCTGTATTGATACATGCAGAGCACGCAAGAAGAGCCTTGTTGCTATATTCGCCGACTATAGCAAAGCATTCGACTATGTAGACAGAGCATGCCTACCTGAGATCCTCGAATTCTATGGAGTACCTACGCAAATAATCGATGCCATCATGTCTCTGTACACTAACACTGAAGCATACGTGCGAACATCATCAGGTGACACAGATCGGTTCAGAACAACATCTGGTGTGTTGCAAGGTGACACTTTGGCGCCATACCTGTTCATCATCCTGCTAGACTATGTTCTCCGCATTTCATTATGTGAAGATGCTGATGGGTACACGGTTCGCCGACGGCTGTCTTCACATAACCTGGCAGTTAAGTTACCTGGTCTTGCCTACGCCGATGACGTTGTACTGATGAGTGATACAGTCGATGCTGCACAGCGCCAATTTCACCGTTTTGAACGTGCTTCAGCACAAGTTGGTCTGCGTATAAACCCGCAGAAAACTGTGGTCATGTACATTGGCATTGACCAAATTTCACCAATCCATACACTATCAGGTGATCCGCTGCCCCCGTGCACAGAGTTCTGCTACTTGGGATGCAACGTTAGCAACAGTCAATCAGCTTTCCAACGCCGACGACATCTCGCATGGGTGGCGTGCCGAAAACTCGATATAGTATGGACCTGTACAGCAAGCAATCACCTGAAGGTCAAACTATTTACTGCCTGCATTGAGTCGGTGCTGTTCTACAGTGGGGCCAGCTGGACGCTAACAGAAACGCTCGCAAAAACCATCGACGCATCACATCGAGCTTTGCTACGCTACGCACTCAACATCAGATACCCCAAACGCATCACCAATGTTGAACTTTATCGCCAAACCAAAATCCCACAGGCATCAACAACCCTTCGCAAACACCGCCTACAACTGATTGCCCACGCAACCAGGCGTGACACACCCCTCTCATTGCTCTTGGACAAAAACAACCAACCTACAGAACCATACCGAAGAGGTGGCGCACTTATGCGAACCTATCAACAGCAACTTCTGGACGACCTGAGGATGGTTGGTACGGACCTGACTCAACTACACCAAGCTCAACAGTAGAAACGAACAATTAATATGTTATTATGCAGCCACTAAGCAACGCCTGTGCGCTGCTCGCGCACAAACGTCACCATGATGATGATGAGATGTGACGTCACATTAAATGTACATATTATAAAGGTCTATATCTACAGAACAACATGTCCAATTTGGTTGAAAGTTGGTATGTACCTTTGGTTGAAAGTTGGTATGTACCTAGACCGGAATGTGTTATAGATAAAAATTTGAGTGGCGTCACGATGACGTCACCACATGACATGTGACGTCATATTAAAGGGGCACAAGGTCCTGAAATCCTCGAAAATTTCAAGTTTTGGATTGTTTACTTAGCCTATTTCAAACATCTGGTTGAAAGGAAACCAACCTAATGTCTTACCGTTCCCGAGACAAGACGGAAAAAAACCCGCTTGTTTACATCGGACACGACGGCCCGGGAGCACGAATACGTTTTTCATGTCGTTCTCAGTGTACGATGTTGTGTGTTTCAGGAACAGCGGTGACCAATCACAAATGCAAAAATAGTGGTTTCTTCAACGTCCGCAAAAGACGAACACTTCACGAATGAAATCACAACTAAGCATTCAAACAGCTCGAATTTATGGGGTCGCAAAAGTGGACCCCGAAATTCGTTCTCGCACGCATAATACAGGAATTACACAAAAATGCCCAGTTTTGAAAGGATAGTTGTGTCGATGTTTATATCCTACTTTTAAATGTTATTTCCGATTAAAATCATTTCGTTCAAAGTGCGTTTTGTAGCCCAATTGGGCTGTTCCAGGACCTACATGTAGTGTCCCTTTAAAAGTGCATATTTTGAAGGCCAGTATCTACAGAACTACAGGTTTGATTGGGTTAAAACTTGGTACCGGTATGTGTACCTAGACCAGGATGTGTTATGTATGAAAATTCAAGTGACGTTACAATGATGTCATCATGTAACATGTGACAACATATTAAATTGTGCATATTTTGAAGGCCAATATCTACAGAACTGTGTTGGTCCTGAGCACTCTACCGCACATGCTGTCATATCATTATCAGTCAATACAAGACATAAACAATACATACAATAAAAAATTACCGAAACAGCCGTATGTTTGTACCGGTACATAAACATAAGTAAATCTGTTGATTTTGTCCCGTCATTTAAAATACTGGACAACAGTGCTCTTTTAACTTCTGATTCGTTTTCTTGAATTTTATTAGCATTTATAAATTATTGGGCTTAGACTGACCTTTGTGATGTCCTCTTCCGGCACAACACACATACCTGGGGGAGGCTCTGCATAGATGTTCATGATGTCTCTGCAGTGCAAAGAAATAAGAAACTAACGCACATAAACCTTTCACTTTCAGGTTGTGATTAAGTTAAAAGGCATTTTCACACTAGGGAAAACTCGGGAATGCCCCTGGGAGACACACGGGTGAAATTAAGCCACGGTTCCTACTTTCTTCACAGTACGGCCATGACTAAAATGTGCTTGTTTATGCATGTCCACATAAATTAAAATCATAAGGATTTAATAAGGCAAGTTTTGTCAGCCTTTTGATGTTTTAAAACATATCTGAATTCGGCACTAAAGAGCTCAGTACTTTATACATGATGCCACGGGTTGAAAACTTTGAGGCGATATAAACACTGTTTGCGGGAAGAACGCAGGGATGAACTCATGGGTGAAAAATCGATAACCATCCCGGGGCAGCCCCGTGGTGGCCCTGGTTGAGTTTACCACAGGGATGGGTGCTCTAGTGTAGAAAGGCCTGTAAATGGTACATATGTACACATGTCTGTACATAAGTATACACATTGTAAGCCAAATATTTTTTTAATTCATTTTTTTTTCTTTTGGTGCATTTTGACAACAAGCTTGTACAAGTTTTCTTTTACGACTAAGACAAACAATTGTCTTGGTATCCATGGGGCTTTTTTTACTTTAAGCTGAATGGAAGGAAATTTGTTCTTGTCCCCAGGGGAAATCACAAAACAGTTTTTCAGTCCAATATGGTGTGAGGTACTTTAAGATGAAAATAACGCCAAGATAACAGGATGCTGTTATGATCACTGGAAGGAAGAGGGGTCATCTATAGAATACTGGATATATGTCACATTTGTTGGTGAAAAATAAGGTCCAAGGTGTTGCCACTGGATGATGTGTCCAGAGCATAATATATCAAAGTAATGAGCTGATCCATTTCAAGAGCAATCAAGCAGTCTATATAGAAGAGCAAATTGTCTGACCAGGTTGAGGTTCTTCTAGAGTAAATAGTAGACTGAAATCAATACAGATGTATGGCAAGGTAGTGGGAGCTACATTTTTGTTATAATAGAACATTATCAAAGTCTTTTAGATGTTACTAAGTGTCAAAGGAACATGTCCTACTTTAGATCCTAAATAACTCTGTTGTTTACCAAGGAATTATATCAAAATTTAAGATCATATAAACAAGGCATGACAAATTTTATAGAGCGAGTTCCATCATCTTTGTGCACGAGGATGAGATTTAAATGCTATACGTTCCTCGAACGGACATAGATCTGGTCTTCTTCTTGTTCCATGCAAAATCCCATGGACTTTGCACACGTCTTTTCTTGAAGCACCTTGACATGCATCTTTTGTCGTCATTCAAAGGTAGCATACATGTAAGTATAGTAAGTCCATACACTAGCAGGGTTATGTCCAGAACAGTGAGTCGTGGTGATGTCATCATGGGTCACATGATGTCATTTTGTGAGTGTGAAGCTGTTTCCACGTTGCTGTCATTAATATTTCTGTCAGTTTCACTTCTGCAGTCTCGACAATTTTCCTCGTCAGTGCCATCCACTCCTCCTTTTGTCAACAGTTGTACCGGTAGCTGCTCCAGGTTTGCGGTGTTGTGTAGGCGCTTGCCCACCATCTTCAGGTCGTTGTCGAGAACGATTGCTAGTGTGGTCCAAGGGCGTCCTGGCCAACCTTCCATGCCTGCTTCTGTTGTGCCGAAGTACTCGTCGATGAATTTCTGAGCAGAAACAGGTACATTTCTCGGTAGCCGCAGGACATGGCCGAAGAGTCAACAGCGTGCTTCAAGGGTCCTGATGCTGAGTGGACCACAATTGCAGCAACGATAGAGTCATTTTTGGAGATACGATGTGGCCACCGCATGCCAATGATCTGTTGCAATTGGCTTCGGTGGAATGAGTCCAGTTGGTCTTTTTGTTTTTGAGTGAGGCCCCAGGTACCCGTGTTGTAGAGAAGTACTGGAAGCACGAACGTGTTGTAGAGGCACAGACGGAGTTCCTCACTCACATGATGACGCAGTAGCCATAGTGTTTTCATCGTGTGGAATGCTACATTGGCTAGCTGCTTACACAGTGAGCGACATCTTAACCATATCCCAACAGTGAGCCGTGCTTCTTTGTCATACACCACTCCTCTCCTTCACGGTCTACCTGACGCTTCATTGTAGTGTGCTCAGTCTTCATGGGGTTGGTGGTTAGAAAGCATTGAAGCAGACTTCCTGGTGTGGTCTGCTCCACTGTGTCGAGAAATTCTCACGAGTACATGTACATGTAGCTCACAAAGTCTGTGTCATCAGCATATTATGCTACATCAAGAGGAAGACCACCATCTCTATTGCTTTGCATCTGCAGTTTCTCACGCAGGTCATGAAGAGCTGCTTCTAGGTATACCACAAACAGTACTAGAGACAGGCTGTCTCCCTGAGGTGTGCCGATGGTGGTGTCAAAGGGTTCGCAGTTCCCTTCTGCAGGTGGGGCACTAGTGATGTTTTTGCTAAAAGAAGTTGAATGATGCGTAATTCCAACTCGTCAAGAAACGTCTGAAGAACTTGCATCAACCGGTCTCTTCTGATAGTATCGAAGGCACGACTCATATCAAGCCTGAGAACCTTTGCACTCCACTTTATAAATTGTTGTGACTTGGCAGACAGCCAGCGGTAGCCAACACTACATCTGCTGTTCCACGACCTCGACAGAAGCCGCTTTGCCTTGAGAAATTCATCCACCTTCTCATAGATGCGGTTGAGGAGCGGTGTCAACAGCCAACCGCTTCGCTGCAATAGCTACGGAGGATGTCTATCCCGTCATCACCGACGACAGCACTGACGATCCATGGACTGAGGCCAAGTTGCAGATCGACTCCTACTACGAGGCCTTGACGCCCAGTGTCCAACCTGGCAAGAAACAGGAATGTTCTCTACTCCCCAACCAGCCCGACCCCTCATCAAGCAAGACCTCTTTCCAAGAGCAGCTGGCCGTGTTTGTGTTGGGAACCATGCTGATTGTATTAGATGTACAGATTACCGTCGGTATAGAGTTCCAGCTGTCTTGTGCACTTGTTGCTGATGAAGTATGATTTACTCAATGACAATGTAATCAATGAAAATGTAGATCTTCACCGATCTGTTGGTTCGGAATCGCGACGAGTATCATGTCACGTGGTTTGGTGACGTGCAGGATGAGCAATGAGGAGTTACAGGCGAACAATCCGTGTGCATCAAGAAAATGTGCCAGCGCAGATGTAGAAGTACAGATTACAGTTGATATAGAGTTCCAGCTGTTTTGTGCACTTGTTGCTGATGACACAGTACCTGCGAGACTTTACTGAACTTAGGTGCGATATCATGTTCGTATCTCTAGGTCAGCAAATCAGTCAGTGGCATAGTGGATGGTTTTTCTGCATGTCTGTGTTGTCTGACCCCAGCAGCTGAACAGTCGAGAAATCTCTGGTCATTCGTTGCAAAATGTTAGAGCAACCTGTGAATACTGTCCATTCGCGCGACACCTCAGAACATCCATTTAATATTTAAAGGGAGTATACATCATTTGCTTTTGCTGTAATTTTCAGAAATGGATGGAATTGGGGGGTTGGAAATATATAGCAAATATAGTTACACTGACTTTTTGGAGGTTTTGGGTTCGAAAATGCTATAAAAAGCAAGAAAAACGATCATTTTCCTGTAGTCTGGTTCCCTGACTCCATATAAGAAGAAACAGAGCAGTCTACATACATTGGGGAATTGTAAGGTCAGGGAACCAGTCTAGCTGGCCCGTACCCGTTCATAGGTTTGTAATCGATTGCAAACAAGTGCAATGGTCAATTGGGGCCAGTATTTGAAAAAAAGCCAGTTGTTTCCAACGCTGATCGGCCGATCAGCGTTGGAAATTGATACAAAAATACCACTTTTCTTGAAAATGACAGTATACCAGGGGCCATAATTTTACAGGATGCTTTAGACTGTCATTTACCAACATCCTATTAAGGTATTTCGCAAAAACTTGGTAGTTTTATTTTTCGATGTTTGCAAATGTTGTATATTCCCTTTAAATATATCTGCATAATGTGTTACACGTAAAAATTGAGGTGATGTCATGATGTCATCATCAGAGTTGTAACAAGTCACTGATTGTTGTGACTCGAGTCGAGTCATTTTAAAGAAGTGACTCAAGTCAAATTAAGTCAAGTCATTAGGTCAAGAAGGTCGAGTTGAGTCGCAGTGTTTAGTTGAGTTGAGTCAAATACTTAGCTCGAGTCAATTCAAGTCACAAATATTGGAACAAAAAGGTACTTTATAACAAAATAAAGACAAGAGAGAAGTCATTTGTATCATTAACAGTTAAAAGAAGTGAAACTTCGGTCTTTTCTGGACAATCTGGTTTGACTTCGCTCGACTTCAAAACCAAATTGCCGTATCCAAAACTGTTTCTGACTATTTAAAAGTGGGCATGCATCTTTTGAATTTTCAAAAGGAGGGCATAAATTTAGCCGGAATTCAAATCCAAAGGAAAGAATTCCACACTCGGACGTCAGTCATCTGCCACTAAACACATCAATGTTTACCTCTCCTTGTGATTCCACCCAAGGAAGCTCCAGCAATGTGAAGCCATTTCAGAAAAAAATGTGTTTTTTAGAGCATAATTTGGATGCACACATCAGCTCAGAAGCAGACAGTCTAGGCAGCCATTTTTTTGACATTGGTAATTGATGTCTGCAACCGGGTTGGCTGATTTAAATCACATTGATTTTAATCACTGATTTAAATAAAAATGATTTTTTTTTAAATCACCGATTTAAATCACTTTTTTTTTTAAATCTTATTTTTGGCAAATTAACTTGATTGAGGGACATTATTATTTAAATCAACTGATTCCACCTTATAAGTGTAAGATGCTAACATTCAAACACCCCTACATGTACTTCATCAGAATCGACTCAATAGTACGGCAGGAAAAATGGGTTCCCATGCACCCCCCCCCCCAAAAAAAAAAAAACCCACAAAATTCCAAGATGATTTTTAGAATCCCTAGGACATGGGATTAAAGAATTTTGATGTTGCCAGCGAAAAAAACATGTCCCATGATGCCCTAATTTGCACATTTCCAAGATGGCTGCCATGCGAATAATTAAAACGCTAAATGTCATACATAATCAGTGACCAATGAGCTGATTTTGATGATCTTTGTGTCAAAATTATGGATTTTTGGGGTGCTGAATTGATTTACAAGGTTTCTAAAATAGCTGGAGGTCAAGGTCACGTGATTCAGGCAAAAGTCAAGGTCATTTAGGTAAAAAATTCGTCATTTTCATTTACCCAGCTCCCATAGATATGGCCTTGTTATTGCTTTACAAATTTCCCACATTATCCCAACTACCAAATCCATTTAATAGAAAAAACATGTGGCATTTTATTTTGGAGTTAAAGTTTTTAAAGAACAACGATCAATGAAAAGGAAAGATTTCCATATATATACGAAGTTCACTCAACACTCTGTGTACAAACCCTATGAGAGTGGACTGAAAAATCCTAAGTGTTTTCTAAGAAAATGCTTGTATTTTCTCACTGCTCAAATTGACTTTGGTGACATGAAATTGCTATGTGGGGGCTTGTTAGTCAATAGCCTACAGAGGAAAATTAGTGAACTTCGCATATATGGTAATCTTGCCGACTTTTTTTTTTTAATTTCAGTGTAGTCATAATTTAACAGTCCGTGCATTTTGTGGTGGTGGGTAAGGGGGTGGAGCTGGAGGGGACCATGCCATGCACTAAGAAGTGTTACCGTGGTTTAAGTAATGTGTGGTGTGATTCTTGGAGTGACCAAGAGCAACAAAACGGTAATTGTTTTGTTGTGACTTAATACCGTTTGACCGTTTTACAAAACTGTAGAACAACAAAACGGTCAATGGTTCGTTTACTGTTTATGTTTTTGAGGAAAGCCAAAACAGTAAAACGGAATAATGGTATGTCCCGGAATTGGAATGACCATATTTATCTTAATACCGTTTAACCGTTTCACAAAACTATTAAATGACAAAAGGCACAATTGGAGAATACCCCGCCACTCGATCTATTTTATGCACCTCATAGCCGGCTACGGAGTCACGGTTGATTGCCCTCAATAAACCTCAGCGCTACCTGTACATACTAGGCCTACACACGTCATGCTCCACTGCACTCCCATTCCGTATCCGCGTACTCCCATTCCTTTTGTGTTGCTCCGTTTCTCAAGCATAGTCAAGAGGACTCCCACTTCGCAGCCGCGTAGGTCGTAGCCGGGTAGTTTGGTTTGGACTTAGGATTTTTTCAGTAATTCTTTTCCAGTGATTCCAACCAAGTAGCCAGAGATTTTAGGGGTGTATTTCCGAGTGGCGGGGTATTCTGCAATTACTCCCGACAAAATGGTCAATGGTTCGTTTACTGTTTTTGTTTGGAGAAAATCCAAAACAGGAAAAGGAAATAACGGTGTGTACCGGGATTCCCTTCTACCCTACACCCTATGACATGTATGACCCTCAATTTAGGCCTACCGTTTGATTCTTAATATACACTGATGAGTAGCTTTCTGTTGATCCCAATCCTTGCTTGTAGTTGGATCCCAAATAGTCATCTCCATGATGTTATGTACAGGTACAGCACTTCCACTGGCAGACTCTGCCATCATGAGAACGAGTAGTGCTAGTGCTCGTACTGGGTTTTCCTAAATATTCTACAACTAGTACAAAGTACTACTACTAGTACTACTAGTCGGTCCGCACAAAATTTGGTTGGTTCCTTTGGTTTCTCGACCAGTGTGAGATTTGCATCAAGTTTTGATGGATTTCGAATTGCAGGCGTGCCATGCAAGTTGCAACCTTATACGTTAGACAGTATAGGCCCCAATAAAAGTAGGACTATTGAAAACTCCATGGTTAAAGTATGCACTCGATCATTATTATCACTGTCGTGCACAGAGTGAGCTTTATGGTCACACTAGTATGTGGTTATGGTCGATCACATTTATGATGACTAGTTGTAGTAGTATAGTTATAGACTATCACAAGTATCATGGTCACACTGACCACAGGACGTGCACACATTGGCACACTGTTTACAAGCACAAGGGAAGAGAAAAGGTGAGCAACTTTTCTAGCGTCATCGAACACACATGGCAAACTAGAGATGATGCTAAAGTATTATGCAGCATAGCACCAAGCACTAGCACTGCAGCATGGATACATAATGCAGTATTACTGTCGAGCGCAATTTGAGTCCCCCACGCAAGTTTAAACTTGCGCGCGCAAGTTTAAACTTGCGCGAGGGACTCCCGAAGCACGCAAATTACACTGCGCCATTTTAATTTGCGTGCTTAAACTTGCGCAAAGGCAATCGCAACCTTTTTTTGCGGGCGGGATTTTCATTGATGAAGAAATTTTTTTTTCAAAACACGAGTACATGGAGAAATAATGGAATAAATGAATGAACAAAGAAATAAATATAAAGGGGAATTCAATTAGCGTCTATGAAAAGAAACATTGAGATTTAGCAGTGCTTATCAGAGAAGTTGTTTAAGGGTACGTGGGGGCGGGGCCGGGGAGGGGACCGGGCAAGCAATCAACTTAAGCACACTAGCGGCGAATTTGCTTGGAAAGTGCACTGAAGTTGTTCAATAATGGAGACCAGCTTCAAGTTTTTTGCTTTGTAAACCTAATTAGCATTTTATTTATATTCTTGAATGTAAATAAATAATAATTTCCTAGGTGTAACCCGCTGTTAACGTAAAAAGAATGATTATGATCCCTTCAATTGTTCAAGTTTTGACGTTATAGTAATCATTTACATTATTTTTAAAATGCTTTAAATTACATTACATGTATTTTACAATTAAAAAGGTACTTATTCTTAAAAAAATACTCATTAATTTAGCAATTAATAAATTGGACGGTACAATAATTCATATTGTTTTTAGAAATACTTGCATAACATTTCGAGCGCTGTGTACACTTCAAAAATGCATACATGTAATTTGAAAACAAAATTATTGAACGCATTACTAATTTAATTATTTAATTAAATTTATTACTTTAACTATTATTTTATTGCAGGCTCAATCATTCATATTAATGTTTATAACTTAAAAACGCTATGAATATAAAATGGTAATTATTTTAAAAAGTAAATAAATTTGCAAATGATTTAATTAATGAATTTTTTTTAAATTTAATTAATTAATTCGACTTAATGAATAAATATGTTGTTTATTAAACAAAAATCCTAATGAGCCATAAACAATAATACACATCATGATGCAAAGTGCATAAATTGTTCGCATTACCACTCCTTTATATCTCTCCAATTTCCATACAGTCAACATCATTAGCATATTAATAAAATGTTTCAAAAAAAGGCATTAAGGCATTGTCTCCCGAAGCTCAGTGATGCTATTAAATCGGAGAAAAAATCTGCTTTAAAAATAATGTTACATATCTGCATGAGTATACCCGGGGAAAAAAATAGTTTAGCGGCTTTGTATGCGTGGCGGGGAAATCTATGTAGTGCGCGAGTTTAAACTTGCCTGCGCAATTTGTAGCAAGGAAATTAATGCGCGCAAGTTTAAACTTGCGCGGGGGACTCAAATTGCGCTCGACATTATTATTATGCATTGCATGCAGCGCAGTCGCCCAAAATGCCACTGCGTACCGTACGCCGTGTATAACCTGGCCCTCTTGCGTCAAATCCGAACAACATGCTAAAAACGTACATGTACACAAAGTATCACCCACGGAGCAAGTCTCTTGTACATAACGTCTGATAATTATGAACAGCATAGGGCGTATCTTCTTTGTTTTTAGATAAGATGAGATTTTACACCAATTTTAATTGAGATAAGGACATGTTGTTTGTGATTGATGTAAGTTTTATGTATTTATATTGTAACGGACAGTCTATGCACACTTTTGTTGTCATTGCTTTCTAGTGCTCCGGCGGAGGGGCTCCGGCGGCGCGCCCCTGACCTGCTAGTTTTGGGTCTGGCTAGCGCGCGCTCCGGTGTCACGGTCTCACTTTTCCGGCGTGCTAGCTTCTCCGGGTGGATTCGGCTGATAATTGAGCCGGCACGTTACAGTGCACGTTACATGAGCACGATACATGCTCATGTGTCCGCTGTGCGTACTTTTCCTCGGGATGTATTCTGAAGTCTACGAGGCCCATTAATAACAACACATTGAGGGACACTCAAAAATGTGTTATATAACACTTCCTGTGGATCAAGTCATTCCACGGTCTTGCAAGCATTCTGATCCCAGCGTCATGCATGTACGTGTGTTCATGGAGGAATAATTAAGAACGAACTCCTTCGTCGAGTTCCTTTTCGTCTGCAAATATCTTAAAATCTTACGTGCGCCAGTACAACCCCGAATGACTCAGCACACATTAATAAAGTTGACGAAAATGTACACTTCTGCGCAATTTTGTACATGCGTGTTGAAGCGAAATTTCCCTTTCGGAGAAGCTAGCACGCCGGAGAAGTGAGACCGTGACACCGGAAATAGGCTCTACAAATAGGTTGGTTAAGTGGGGTTCTTTTGTTCACTTTCGCGGGTAGGGCTTGGCTTGATTCCAGGGTTGGGTATAGTTGCTACAATTGTATACATTTGTTCAGACTGTGTGCATGTATATGGACGTCTATGCTGCACTGGGAATTGATCAGTTGCAGTTCTGGTAGCGGTGCGGCAGGTTGCCCGCAGAGTCCGCTTGGCGAAATAAATGAGATCTTCTTTCAGAGTTAGAAATCCCGTGTGTCCCCTTTTCTTGCGTTTTGCTGGACTTGGCGGACAAGAGTCCAGTACTAGGATCCCGCTACAAATGGTGGAAGCTGGTGGGATATTGACGGGATTTTGGACTATAATGACTGGAAATGACGGAATCGTGGACGCCATCAACGATGTCATCATTGACGTTCGGAAGGTGGGAGACTCCTTGGAGCGGCAGATTTGTGGATCAGCCCATTCCTCGACAGACGTAATCCACAGGCAACTGGTTCAGCGGTAGGTGTGTTGCAGAGGATCAATAAAATGATCGTCGAATTGGAAGCGATGTACAGCTCCGATGATTCTACCAGTGCGTATCAGGATGAAGATGAACGACGAGCAAGCCTGTTCAGCGGTCCGGGGGCAGAAGTTGATGCTAGGCTGGGTTGTCGCGTGAATGGGGAGACCACGAGTAGGGAGGCCGCTGCGAGCGATGATAGCCCTGCTGTTGACGTGGAGCCCCGTCCCGTGATACTGGCGAGCATGGCGGCTGTCCATCGGATCGAGCTTCGTGGATGCACCGACTTTTCCAGTCCTGATCCAACTGCTGCGGAGAACTTTAGCTGCACATCGATAGCTCCATCGTTGCGGACATCTCCATCGATGCACACTGATCCACCGTTGTGGACGGCTTCGCTGGTGCATGCCGATCAGCCGGAGCACGCTGAACTCATCGACCGCGGCCGTACTGCCGGGACAGCAACTCAGACCACGGACAATCGACCACAAGACACTGACCTTCATGTTCAGGTGACGGCAACCGAGTCGGAGCGGCACTATCCCCCGGCGAAAGCAGCCCCGCTGGAGCAAGCAACGACATTGACTTTCAGACCGCAGGTGCAGGTGACAGGGACAAGAACGGTAAGCCAACAGACTGCGGATCCGGCGATGCAGGACGCATCAAAGAAGACGAGGCCGAAGGTACAGGGAGTACCACAGAAGACAGGATACCCGTTATGCAGGGAGCATCAAAGGCTGGGAATCCGCCGGTGCAGGGTGCACCACAGAAGATGAGGCCGCCGAAGAAGACAGGGAATCCGCCGGTGCGGGGCGCACCACAGAAGACAAGGCTGCCGGAGAAGACAACAGTGCGTGGACAGACACCACGGAAGACAACGGGGCCAAAGCAAGGTTGGGGAGTCAACGACCAGGTGGCAGTAGTACATCGATGTGACCTGTGTAGGCTACTTGGCTGAAGACACTAAAGCTTGCGAAGTGCAACACAGACAGAGACTGGAGAGAAGTTCTCTCTTGGATGGACATTGTTTGGTGAAATAGTGAGGACATCAAGCAATTAGCAATTCGTGCGAACGAATTAGTAATCCGTGCGAACAAATTAGTAATTCGTGGGAACGAATTACTAATTCGTGGGAACGAATAAGTAAATGACAAAAAAAAATTCCACCCTGTCCCTTCACGGGCTTCATGTATTTCCCTTATAATGATCAAAGTATGTGCTAAAAATCTTTGTGATATTATCTTTACTTTTCGTTGAAATTGGAAAAAAAAAGGCCAGGCTACGTGCATATTTGAAAATTGTAACACTGGCGTTAGCAATGTCTGTCAGTCTTTTCAAGCCTCAAAAGTATTAATAAGGTTCCTATCTATTATGGTGTGCAGTAAAAATTTGCATAATAGCCTCCTTCACGAGTTATTAATTGATAAATTTCACCCTTTTTGCCGGCTTCCATTGGTCGATACCGAGACCCACGCCAAGTCGTCTCGTGTTGCCGGGCCGAAATCGGTCAACCTTAGCGCATACGGTGCTTTGCTGAACAATGCCTGTGGGTGATTCGGCAAAAAATCCTTGTCGAAATTTTCTTTAGAGAGTTCAAGGTGAAACGCAAGCGTTAGCAACAACAGATTAAGCTGAAATTCGGAACATACTTAGTTGATAAGTGTCTAACTACTCGTGAAATAACAACTTGAGTAGATTCCTAGAAATTGATATAAATACATAGATTTTGGAATTTCTTCCAGATTTGAAGGTCAGCTTTACCAGTAAACAATATTGACGTTTCGGCATCGATAACGGCGATTTTTTCACTGACATGAAGTTTAGAATTTCTTCTTCCGTTATATTTTAACATTTCAATCACACTGAGCATATTTTCTTAAAAACACAACGTTCAAAATGCCATGTTTCTGGGGGTGCAAGAATTTCACTGCTCTGTTATAGCATCTAAGTACGTAATCGGATTAGCTTTGCCTAACAACGGCAGACGCTTTGCGTTAGCAACCATATGGCTGTGAAGATATACATGTGCGAGCCGCGCGCCAGCCAATGCAATCGGAGTCGACTTTACTAAATCGTGACTTCATTTCATTCCTAAATCAAGACTAAATGGTTGGATTGGTCAATTCGAAAGCAGTGTTTTGTAATACAACAACTAAACAGCCGGGCTCGATATCGCGTAACATGATACAGAGCGCGTGACACATTTTTTGTATCCATTGTCTATGACGCGCAACGGGTTAATGA